TGTAGTTTCAAATGATCTCAAAACTGAATTTTTAACTTTTGTGCCTTGACTTTTTGTCCAACATTCTTCCCATCATCAATCCCATGGGATGTTTAAAAGTTGGTAAATCAAATTCAAAGATTATTTCTGGCAGTCGTGTTTTTTTTTCATCCTAATTTGGATCATTTGTAGAAGCTCTTCTAAAACATTCCTACAAAGTTGGGTCGGACCCGAAGATTCAGTGGGGATTGATTGGTTGGTTGTTCCTACAAAGTTTGGTTGGACCAGATGATTCAGTAACGATTGATTGGTTGGTTGTTCCGTGTTTACCGTTCAGTAGCAAACATTTTATGTATATTCAACAGCGCCTGCATATGGAGTATATATCTCCCAGTTGATACGATATTCCAGAGCTTGCATTTCCTTGATAGAGGGTTGCTGCTCACAAAGAAGCTATTAAACCAAGGGTTCCAAGTGGTGAAGTTGAAATCATCCCTCCGAAAATGTTATGGACGCCATCATGAGTAAGAAAATTCTACGGACGCCATCATGAGTTGGTTAACCGTTATGGAATATTTGTATCACAGATGACAACGGATATGTACCAGTTGTCGTAACTACAATCCCGTCCCCTTTTCCCCGAATGTGACCTACCGAATTAGACTCATCACCGGGTTTGTACTAACATGAGCAACACGACGGGTGCCACATGTGGAGCAGGATCTGCTTACCCCTCCGTAGCACCACAGTTTTTGGTTGGGTTCATGACGCTCAGTCTTTAGATTTCTATTTTGTGTACTGTTGTTTGTCTTTCTTTTTTAACCATGGCGTTGTCACTTTATTTTCGACTTATGAGTTTGAATGTCCCTTTTATAGTATATTTCTCCTGTTTTATAAAATCTACAATTAAGTCAGAATGGCTCAAATTGTCAGTCAGCCCTTGATAGAAGTTATTGTCCTTAATTGGCGATATTTAACCAATCTTTGGCGAATTTGCCCATTATTTTGAAAACTAATAATATAAATAGAAACTTTAAAAAGCAAAATTGATCAGCAGGACAAGATCTACAAATATGTTAGCGTTGGCAGTTAAGTTATTGCTTTTAAATGAAGATTTTTACCTAATTTTTCCCTTTTTTTGGCAAAAATTTTAGTTGATAAAGAAAAACTGTAAACAGCAAAAAATGATCAGAATGAGAACATCGTGAATGACGATTTTTATCCGTATTTTTTCCATTTTGGGTATGAATTATAAAAAATAGAAAGTGTAAGGGTAAACTGAACAGCATGACATGATCAACAAAGTGATTTTAGACATGAATTATAAAATAGATTATTCAAGTCTACAATGCTGGAGAGTGGCCATTGTTGAAGATGCATATAGATCCAGGTGATCCGCATAGGCTTTTTAGAGCCTCTAGTTTTTAAAGCAGTGTCTGTCAGTAGCCTTGTCCGATCGGAATGGGAACGTTAAATCCACTGCCCAGAGTAAGGTGAGTGCCACGCATTTAAAAAAAACTCTTGCGACAACTACCTGATGTGGTATGCTGCAATGCAAAATGTCTGTCTTTATCCAACATAACCTCACTTTCCAGTGGTATTTTCAACATTTCAATCCCGGTCAACCTACATTGTAGGACTTACCTATCGTATTAATTGTTAATATGTTCTCGTCCTGGAAAAGAGAGACGAAAGATACCAAAGGGACATTCAAACTCATAAGTCGAAAACTGACAACGCCATAGCAAACAATTGTACACAAAACACAACATAGAAAACTAAAGACTGAGCAACACTAACCCCACCAAAAACAAGGGGTGATCTCAGGTGCACTGGTCGGGATAAGCAGATCCTGATCCACATGTGACACCCTTCGCGTTGCTCATTTAAGTACAAGCCCGATGATAAGTTTACAATTTGGTAGATCACATTCGTGAAAAGGAGGACGGGATTGTGGTCACCACAAATGGAACATATCCGTCGTCATCTGTGAAACAGGTATTCCAAAACGATCAACTAACTCGTGATGGCGTGACTTCCATAACATTTTTGAAGGAATGATTTCAACTTCGATCGCCACTTGGAACTCTTGGTTTAATAGCTTCTTTGTGAGCAGCAACCCTCTGTCAAGGAAATGATGATAGGAAATTCAGACCCTAGAATATTGTATTAACTGGGAGATATATATTCCCTATGCAGGCGCTGCTGGAATGTCGCTACTTAGAAATGGAAATTTCACAATTGGGAAGCTGAAATCATCTCATTTGTCGTAAAGTTTTGTTTTCAACCGACCCTCATTGTCAATTTCTAGATGTAAGTCAAGATATGATATGAGGCAGACTTAACTGTATCTGTTGTATCCTTGATCTCAAGTTCGATGGGATAGATGCGTTTAACATAGATACCAATATCTTGCTAATAATAATTTGCTACTAAAATTTCTAGGCAAAAACGCAAAAAATGTAAAATTGGTCAGTTAAGGGCAATAACTCCTGTTAGGAGTCAAATCATACTTGCTAATCATTCTTTTTATTATAGTTTCCAGATAAAATGTTCAAACGGAGAAAAAAAAACACGTAAAAATCGTCATAAAAGGGCAATAACTCCAATAAGGAGTCGACTGACGATTTCGACACCGTAACTTATTTGTAGATCTTGTTTTGTCGATCATTTTTGCAGTGTAAAGTAAATTTGTATCTATTATAGTTTTCAAAATAAAAGGCAAAAATGGAAACTAAGAGGCTCACAAGAGAATGGAGGGAGCGCTATTTGGTAAAAATCAGTCAGTTTGACATTTATGTTTACCTGTACTGCAATCAGTTATGTTTGCTTATCAGTAAATCTTATCTAATGGTATGTTTGTAGATCTTATATTGATGATATTTTTTACTGTTTACGCCTATTTATTACGAGATGACAGGCAGAATTATGAAAAGTAGTAAAACATCATCGTGTAAGGGCAATACATCCTGTAAGGAATCTGTCAATTTGGCCATGTTGACTTATTTGTAGATCTTATTTTGCTTTTAAAAGTTTTTATCAATCTAATATGGTTGTTGACAAAAATGCAAAAATAGTTAGAATCATAATTTAGCGGAAATAACTCCTATAAGGGGTCGGTTCACAATTTCGGCCATGTTGACTCATTTGTAGATCTGATTGTGCTGAACGCTTTTGCTATCTACTGTTTCTCTCTATCTTTCACGGGCAATAACTCCTCTAAGGGTTAAATCGATAATTTCGAAGAGATTGACTTATTTTGCTTAAATGTTTTTTTCCGATATATTGATGCACTTAGTTTGCTTAAATGTTTTTTTCCCATATATTGATGCACTCTTTCTATTATGGCTTAGATAAAAAAAAAAAAAAAAACATAAAATGGGTAAACATGGTTTTTCAGTGGCTCAGGAGTCAGTTGACAATTGCGGCCATATTGACTTGTTTGTAGATCTTTTTGTGTTGAACATCTTTGATATTTACAATTTCTCTCTGTTGGGGTGCCAACAAACAATGCATATAATATGTAAAAACCATCTTTAAAGGTCAATATCTCCTATTATAGGGTACTTGACAATTTTTGCCCTGTTGATTTACTTGTAGATTTTAATTTGCTGAACATTTTGCTATTTACAGTTTCTCTCTATCTATTATGGTTCCTCCAGAAATTGGGTAAAAATTCTCTTTCAAGGGCAACAACTCATATATTTCTTTCATGTTGAGTTATGTGTATATCTTATTTAACTGGTCATTATTACTCTTTAAAATTTATCTCTACTTATCTATTATAGTTTTCAAGATAATCAAAACTTCGAAATTTGCAAATATTTCAGGGGCAATAACTCCAAAGTAGATTGTCTCTTTTCCCTGAAAATAACACAGGAGATAGACCTTGACCTGCTGATCATTTTTACCCTTCAGTTTTGCAGATACAAACCAAAAACTGCATTCTTAAAATTGACATTACAGGGGCAACATCTACAAGAGAGTGATGGCAAAAGCTCGCCACATTGCATATTAGGCCAGATGAGCTAAAGATGGTAAATTCGTCATTTAAGTTTAAAAACTATACGAAGACAATTCAAGTTTTGATTTACATGGACAGTAGGTAGATCTAAATATTGTTTACAAAGGTATTCCTGTCTAATTTCTATAGTGGTTTTCAAAATAATAGACAAAATTTGCATGTTGCCCACATGTTCTAGTTATAGCAATATTGGCCATGTTGGCTGGCTGGGTGAATCATCAGACATATTTTTAAATTACATACCCCAATGATAATTATGGCAAATTTTGGTTCCAATTGGCCCAGTTGTTTTAGAAGAGAAGATTTTGTAAAAGTAAACAGACAACAACAACTGACTGACCCAAAGTGATGAGAATAACGCACAGGACCCTTTTAGGTCAGGTGAGCTTAAAGCGTCAGAAGATATCAAATGGGGAATCAAAACTCATAATTGGGAGAGACCAATAAAATCATGACAATAAATAACAAAAGACAAAGAGTCTATAAAACACTACTGAGCAACACAAACCAAACAAAAAACCAGGTGTGGTATCAGGTGCTCTGGATACTCACCCGAGGTAGACAAATCCTGCTCAACATGTGGCATTCTTCCTGTTGCTGGTGGTAAGTATAAATTCTAAGATGTAACAATTGAGGAAAAAAGGACAGGAGTGTGGCTAAGACAATTGGAACACATATGTGGTCATCTGTCACACCTATATTACATTACAGTCAATCATCTCATTACTTGCTTTTTATTGCAGGATTGTAAAATTAAGCCTTTTATCATGATAAACCTTTTGTGAAGGTTAAAAGGATATAATATAGAATAACAGCTGTTTAAACTTGAATACTACAATGTATATATGTCACACAAAATAATATTTGGGTTAAAATACAAATGACTTGGCTATTTCAAACTTTCCATATTAAAGCTTTTTAAAGATATTCACCATGGTTTTATTCAAATCTATTTCAGATTAAGTCTGCTAGGAATGTCTAGAATAACTGAAACAACTTTTGTACTTAAAGTTTATTTTATAATTTAGACATTTTAAATGTAGTACATGAACCACTGAAAGAATAAATGATTTTTTCCAACATTTTAAAATGCATTAACAAAACATTCTTACTCAAAAATAAATGTAGCAATATTTCTTATTCATAAATCAGAAACAGATGTAATACTAAAGATTTTTATTATTCAGGAACTTGAGTGTGGTTGCTGCTTCTTTGTCATTCCCCAAATGTCCTGCTATTCATTATTTTTAAACATTTACCTGTGTTATTACCTACAGGTACATTTACAATACATTATTTGGTGAATTCAAACTTCAAGACGTTAAGTATTGATAATGTTCTCTGCTTCAAATTCAAAATAACAACACATATAAAAATAAAATTTTAATAGAGTGTAAAAAAGATCAAAATAATTTTAAAGAAAAAGATGGAACTTTGTGATTGTTTTTGAGATGTACTGGTTTAAATATTTGAAAAACTACAATTTTGACAGAAAAAGAGGTATCTGGATTTTTCAAATGATATGTTCAGGACATTTTGAATGTAAAAGTGTATGAAAAGTGTAACTAGCTAACAAGAATTTGGAAATATTCTGGCAATAATGCGTTGGAAATGTAGATTTCTTTTATTCTTTTGTGTCATTGGGTTTCTGTCTCATGATGTATTCCTTACATCTCTATTCATTCATCAAAAAATATAAATAAATAAGTTGCAAGGCAAATATTTTTAATACTTAATTGCTTCAGATAAGTCAGAGGGGTTATGAAGTATAACGGAAAAGGAAAATATGAGAAATACACATCCAGAAAGAACAATTTGACCCCTTTTTCACCAATGACATGATGATTTAGATACAAATAGAGATTACCACAATTAGGACAGAACCAGAATATATAATAAGGTAGGACCTGCCACCAAACATTTTACCAATATGTTCTTTAATAACAGAAAGATTTCATGTTTCGTAAAATAAAACTGTAGCTTAAATGAGTTAGGTGATTGTCTGCTCCTGAATGCAAAGGCAGATTAACTTGTATCATGGAAGCACTATATACAATATAGTACTCCATGCTGGTACATTTTTACTAACAATATAAGAAAAAGTAATAATAATTTTTTGTTTTCAGAAATTAATTCTATAAAGATCTAATTGTTCACAATCAACTTTCTAACATGTTAATGTAAAATTACTGACTATTTAATACAACCTACAGGTTAAATAATTTAGAAAGTTAGTGCACTAATTTTGAGACAATTGCAATTAACAATTATTAGGAAAAGAACACTATAGTTGAGAGTTTTATAACTATCAGATGATCAGTCTATATATTGAATGCCATTTTTTATTTACTTTTGCAGAAAATGACTAAAGGCATGTATTTTATGTAATTTTTCAAGTTAGATATACTCATTTTGGACATCCCATAAGTAAAATCTCATTAATGAGATTCAAGAGAGGGTGTTTTACACATGGATTGGAAGCTAAGAAGGGATACAATTTCTGGGTTATGTGACTTGGATTATTCCAGAGAAAACTGTATGTATTAAGCACTGGGGAAAACACTGTAAGGACTGTAAGAAGGGTAGGAATTTTATGATTTTTAGAAAGAAATATCTCAGATTTCCTACTGTAAAATTGGCATGAGTAAATGGTGTGAGATGCGAGTAACTCCCTCTCCCATCTTTACAATTCATCTGAAATAAATCTAGCTTTTTGCAAACTAAAGATAGGGGGGGGATTTTTAACTGACAAGGAAGATAGCTGAGAGGATTGACATTTTTTTTTTTAACCTGAATGAAAACCATTTATACTAATGATATAAATTAGTACCAATTAAACAAAATAGTTATACAATTAACATTAAATATTATGTACAACTAATCACTGTACTTTGCAATGCTGGTACACTGCAAAACCTTATAACATAGCCGGAATGACTCTGTTTATAAAAATTTTACTTAATTAATATCTTTGTGGGAAAATCTTTCATCTGGATGTAGAAGTATTCATATGATTTATTCAAAGTCTCAATTTAGTCTCCTCTCTTTGACTAAATATATTGCATCTTATTTTATTCTCATGAATTCAATGAACTATTGTTCCTACAGTGCTGTTTCCAGAATCTTCTTTAATTGTTTTGTCAGCAAGAAATGAAAGTGTTTTCATTGTCTGTTAAGCAGGTTTTCCATTCTACTGCTCTTTGAATAATAAGATGACCAAAATTAATATAAATTCCCATCAATTTCCATATTTGTCCTGAAAAAAAAGACAAGTAAATGTAAATAATATGTAATATATTCTATGCTATATCATCTACATTTCTAACCAACAATCACAACATGTATCTACAGTTTCTTTACCACAGATCACAGAAAAGTAATAAAAAATAAAAATGGTCCTTTTTATTTACATTATACATGTTTCCACTACAATAAAAATGATTAAAGGTTTATTAAACAGATCAGATATATTCATTATTTGAAGTGCCTTGATTTTGTATATTAAAGAACATACTGTAAATTCAGAAATTTATGTGTGTAATTATTATTGTGAATGTGGAACAATATATGAAATTTGGAGCAGGGTTGGAAAACTTATACTGTTGCATATTTCGAAATGATAAAAATATTGCAAAATTTTCTGAATTTAGTTATCTTAATTCTAAAATATTATTAACAAGGAAATGCTGAAATAATAGTAAAACCCTACTTTATTTCTTATTTTCCCATGCTTTAAACACTTCTGTTAATTTAGAAATTAATGTGTGCATTTTTTATTGCAAATTATTAAAGAATGGACAAAAATGTGAGATTCATTATTGCGATTTCAGGAAAATTTGCATACAGATATATGGATTTGATATCAGAATGTGAGTTGTATATATAGCGAATCTCACCTAGTCACATTAATTGCATTAGTAAAAACCTCACCATAATTTCTGAAATCTTAGAGAAATGCCAAAAAATACCATGTATAATACAAATTTGATGATATCACAATGTGTTTTGTACAAACAAGAATGACATTGTTAAACTTTACACACCAAAATGTCATCTAGGTAAAATCTCTTATAACCCATGATATCAGATTCAAATAATTTCTAGCTGAAGGTATTTTGTTTTTTATCATTTTTATCATTTGTAAGTATATTTTGATTTAGTCCGACAGAAAAATAAATATTAAAATTACATGAATATTCTTTGAAATAAAACAATTCTGTTTTTAAGAAAAAGTTAGTTGTTGTTGAGTTCACAAGTATATTTCAAAGCTTGCAAGATAGCTTTAAAGATATATCTATTTAACTTTTTGATTTAATAAATAACTGAAATTCCTAGAATTTATTATAGATTTGATATTGTGACAAATAAAGCATATTACAAAGTATGTGGCAAATATAGTGCTTTTTATATCAACAACTTAAGCAAAAAAATTAGGTTAAAACAAGCACTGAGAAAATCCACTGCAAGAAAGATAAGCAAATATATTCTGTAATCAATTTTTTTTCCTGTTTTACCAATATTTTAGTTAAAAAAATCCAAAGAAAGTTCATACACCTTTAAACATTAAAAGCTAAAAAAACTGAAACAATGGTGAATGTTATGTGTGAAGCTGTAGAGTGCACTGGTATTTAATTAGTTTAAAGTCACTATATTAAAACCTTCCTAAATTTTGCCAATGATTCTCAAGTTTCTGTATTGGATACTACTTTTGTGAGTAACATTATATTTGTTATTTCAATATCCCCTCTTAGCAAAAGACAGTATTACCCTCCCTTTCCCCAACCTTGCTAGAATAGTTACAAAACGCAGAATGGGATCTTAAACATTTTTTATAATAGCATTATTAAAGGCAATTATTTTCTGAAATTATTTTAAAGGAAAAAGTTTTGTAGACAGAAGGAAATAATGCTGTTCTAAATTATACAACTTATGTTTATGATTTTATGCTGGTATGAATGCTGTTCTGTCTGGTCAAATTAACTGTTTAAAACATAGGACTGATGAAGAACTTACTAATTTTCCAATTAAAAAATATTTCTCAAAGCACAATTAATATTTTCTATAATAAAAGTTGTGAACAGTGATTGAGTTTACTTAATATTTCAAAATTGTGAATAGAGTAAACAGGAAACTGTATATACTTTTGTTAAGGCATACTACATTTTCTTGTGTTTTGATGAACCTAAGAAGAAGTGCTGCTACATGGGAGGAATTTATATAAAGAACACATCTCTATGGCAATCTACACAACATCAAATCAGTGCAAAATTAGCACACAACACACCTATAATCTTCTTCTTTATAATATCTTTAATTCTGAAACATAACATAGCAGGCAATGATGTGATGTGATGAAAAACAAACAAAATAAAAGATGAATAAGTGTTTTAAGCTGTATGTGAATAAATCAAATTGTAAAAAAGATTATTTTTTCTATGCAAGCAAAAATTATAATAATAAGTGCATTGTTTTTTACTTTAAAGCTGTATCCCCAGACATCAAATTATCCAATAATGTACACTTCCTCAATCAAAACAAGTACATCTTTTATATGCTTTAACTGGATCTTTTAAGTATTCAGCTTTAAGTTATCAATTTCAATAAATCATTTGAGAAAAATAAAGAACTTTTCAATCAAAATGGTGAATTTGAATGTGGTGATGAAAATTGAAGATTTAATAGACACATTACTATATGGGTATATGGTATTCAATTCTTTTTTTCCCCTTAACATTCTTCATTTCTTGATTTAGCAGTTTTCTAAGTTGGAAGGTCATTCAGAATTGTTTATCATAAATTTTGTCAAAATATTATCTAGAAGAATTCAAGTACATTACGACTTTTTTTAAAATCCATTCTTGAAACCATATCCTACATAGTTGTGGAAGAGTTTTACTTCAGAATAAATGGGCAATGTGTCCATGGGACACAGATTATGCCCCCGCTTGCATATAATGTTATAAAGGGATATAACTCCAGAACTGTAAAAGTGACGCTACCCAAATTACGGAAACAAAAAATTCAGCAATTTTTCCATTTGTAGAGGGGCATTACTCTAGAACAGCAAAATGGAGGCCACCAAAATTCGAACTTGATCTGTGTTTTGTGGTAATTAGCATTGTGTATAAGTTTCATAACATTTGGTTGAGGAAAACTAAAGTAAGAAAATGGAAATGAAAAATTCAGCAATTTTTCCATTTGTAGAGGGGCATAACTCTAGAACGGCAAAAGTGACGCCACCAAAATTCAATCTTGATCTGTGTTTTGTGGTAATAAGCATTGTGTATAAAGTTTCATAACATTTGGTTGAGGCAAACTAAAGTTAGAGAACGGAAACCAATTTTGGGACGTACGTACAGACTGACAAGGGTAAAACTTAATGCCCCCTCCACTATGGCGGGGGCATAAAAATGGGGAATTGGGAACTGTTTTTTTGGGAGCGTGTTCAAATTCTACATCATTATTCCTGTTGTCTTGATAGCCCCCCTTTATTTCTATTGTATAAACAGAGATTTTAAAGATGGTCTACTTGTATCACCCTCTAACAAGAGTTTATTAATTAAATATATATTCTATTATCAAACTTTTTTGTACAATTGGAAGACTTCCATCGCTTCACTGACCTTAGGCCTGATGTTTGTGAGTTTGCTCACTCAAGTTCTCCCATTACCAATTAAACATATTTTAAGCTGAGGTCAATTTTGATAATGCTTATTTTTAAAACTTATGTCTTTTGTGTTTACTACCAATCATTTTAAACTGCAATCAAAAGTTCTTCTTCCCAAACTTTTTTAATAGAACCAACCCAAACATTAGAAATTTTCCATAGATATCAATAAAGATGGCAACAAACACACAAAGTAAATAATGAAGTAAGAACGAAGCAATCAATACACTTAACAATTATTCAATAACACAGGACGAAAGCATCAAAGGAATTCATATCACCATATGCATGCAAAGCATACAAAATTAATTATGTGACAATATTTCACCTATGTAGTTAGTGCAAACGCAAAGCTCAAGATTTTCTCTGAAATAAATAAAACAGTTGATGTAATAGTAACTTATTGACCTCTAAATGTCTTTTAGTTATTTGTGTTGTCAGGTTGATGTCTTATTGATGTATACCCACATCTCTTATTCATATCTATTGGACTGATTTTTTTAGTGAACAATACTATTTTGAATAATGCATGCAATTTTCTGCTGATTTACATTTTTTCTCAAAATATACAACTGGTATCACCTTATTAAAATGCAGTTAATTTATATCAGCTGGAATTATGACTTAGAAAACGATAAAATTTCAGTTTTTTCGTACTTTAAAGTTGGCGTGTATATGAAGTGGTATCTTAAAACCAACATGCTACTTCATTCATATTTACACAATTTTTAAAATATTTTTTGTTCTAATAAAACATAATAAATAAATTTGGTGTATTTACTGTCTTCTGATTGGTTAAAAGTATTACGTTTATTTTCAATGTTGTCAATTTTTATGGCGACATGCCCTCTCTGACGTTATGTATTCATACACCAACATGTGTGTACGTTGTTATTGTTAATATAAATAATATAAAAAGCTCTTAGAGCCTTATTTTTGATAGAAATTTATTTATAATGAATGACAATAATTTATTTTGAATTTATTGAACCATAAAATTAATTTTTGACTCTTCACATTTTACATAATACGCTTCGCGGATTATTCAATGTGAAGAGTCAAAAATTAATTTTATGGTTCAATAAATTCAAAATAAATAATAGTCATTCATCAAATGACTTTTAAAATTTAGCAGAACCTCATATAAGAATTTTGATCTGTATGCTTATTTACTGAAGATTGCATTTCAGATGAAACACATAAAATGTAATGAACTTCTTGTTTCATGCTAATCATAAAAAAAAAGAATTTCAAATAAAAATTAAAATATTCAATATAGTATGCTAACGTGTATTACTATATGTTTATTTGGATAATCAAAATCACTCAAATGATTTAATATTATATTTGGATAAATATAAATTATATATAGAAGAAAATCATAACAATTACAGCAAATACTTTTTTTTTCTGAATAAACGTTGTCATGCATTATAGTAATATGTTATCCACTTGGTATTTCTACCCCTGTACATGTACATGTATGGTGTATTCTAACAAACAAGGTGTGAGTACTTAGAACAATAAAGCAACACATAGTATATAGACAACTTCTGTGTAAACCTACTAGCATATGATAGTGAAAAATAGTTTAAGAGGGGAGATAACTACATAAATACTAACCTGTAAAGATGTCATAACACCACTGGCTATAGACGATATTTTTCCTGCTACTTTAGTAACACCTTGTCGTACACCATCTTTAATCTCTTGTAAATCGGGACCACTATTATAAGATCTATTTTTAGAGGAATTGTCACCAAAATAATCATCACTAGATATACTGTTACTTCCTTGAAATTTCTGTAAATTTTGTTTGGTTTCAAACTACAACAAAAAAATTCAAATTTAATACAATTTATAAATACTAAGACAGAAATCATGATAGATGTAATTAAGTCTTGTGAAGTGTTTGATGAATTTTGAATATACATGTATCAATCCATGAAAAAATAACTAATACAACAAAGATATCTCCCTCATTTAAAAAAAAATAATGTCTTTTTAATTTCTCATTTTTCCTACTTACAAAATGTGTGAGGGGTTCACTTTTGAACTATTTGATGAGTTTTCTGCTATACTGGAAGTCCGAACTTCAATGTCTGTTTGTACAACTATGACTGAAAACAATTCCAATTATTTACTGTTTCAGAGTTTAAAGGATGAGTATTTTCATTTTTTGTACCACAAAATGAAAATAATGTCATGTCATTGGTTTAATTTCCATTGTTTAGAACATTACTGACCAATAATAAGGTATTGAAAATATCACCCAGAATGCATTAAGATTCTGAAACTGTGAATTGAAAGCTGAAAACAGAGATCAGTTATTCTTTTCATATCTAAATATCCCCTCACACACCACACAGGCAGAGACATAAATGCCTTTACATATGGATATTTATATAAAAGATAACACAATTACAATTTACTGGAGTATAAGTACTGATCTACATACATCAGAATCTCGACCTCCAAAATACTGGTCTGATGAAATGGCTTTGGCATTCCCAAATTTTTTCTGTGCATCTTCTGAAGATGATGTTGTATTATAATCATAAGCCTTTCTACTTCTACTTGGTCTGAAAATAAATACAACTTTACTTGCATGGTACTATATTTTTATCAGCTTCGGTAGATTTTGAATAATTACAAAACTGCAAATAGAATTAGGAAGATGGCAATACATATTATTTATTCTGTAGTTTACGATGATGATTGACTGTTGGTGTTTAACTAACACCACTTTCAGCACACTTGGCTAATCATGGTGGCCTGTAGATTATGCTCTAGTAGAGATTAATACCACTTTATTTTTAACTGCAAGTTTTTAGCTGAGAAACAGAAATAATGTATCAGTATGTGGTTTGCTCATAGACATAACTCAATTAAATTTCAAGAACTTATGTCCAGTAAAGCAATGAAACATTAAAGAAACTGCAACTACATGTACATCAATCATGCTAATACTGGTGTTTGTCTTCGTGGCCTGTTATACGTGTAATCTTTCTACAATGTTCATATTTGTTTTCTGTTAACTATTGTTTGATAGTTATATATACACATGTATTTTGCATATGTGGTAAATTGTTTTTGATTGTATCTCTCTATCGATTCAATGCATTAACTTTTTGAGAATAAAGATATATGTGTTATTACTTTCAGGAAAATAAGCAGTATTATAATTAACAACCAAGTGAACCAACAATATTAATCATAATCATGATAATTGGAATATTTATTTTAGATGTTGCTTGTTTTGTAAGTTGGTATCTTTAATATTTCTAATTTCCAATGCGAACATTTTGATTATACTTACAAGTGACATTCTTATTATTTTCTAAGTAAGAAAGTTGTTTAAAGCATTTTGCCTTATTCTCTAAGACATATTTAAGAACTTTACAATACTTTTCTACTTATTAAAGATTCAAAGTAATTTCAATTATGTCAGGGGAAATACAAGTTTTGCACAATTGTGTTCAATTCAGGGGGAGATAATTATATAGCATCATGATACATATCAATTCAATTTAACAGTATTTTAAGAGGCAGCAAGGTCAGAAAAAATCCACTTTTTATTTTCAACATCCTGAAAAAGATATATACCCCAAAAATATTATCAATTTCTGTTCATAACTTTTTGTTTTGCAAAACAATAATTGACCACAGTTTAATATATTTTGAATAATTTTGTCCCAAATAGGACATACTGTCAAATTATCTCCTATATCAGAGTTGCATTCATAATGTAGCATCATGAATATACATACAAAAATAAAAGGAGCATTAAAATCCTGCCATTATCATAGACTCTTTACTATTCACAATGCCCAAATAAATACACCTGTAATGATTCTGAAAAAAAAATCCCAATGGAGGTGTATTCACTTTATGAATGGAGATACCTTAATATGTTGGAATAAAAGTGTAAGAAATTATATATAAATATTAAATCAATAATTTCATCATTTTGTTTTTACATAGATTTTTCTATTAATTGGATGGATTTTCAGAAAAAATATATTCACTTCTTAACAAAGAACAGTGGGCTAGTTTTTGGTTGTTCTCTCTATAGGATGCAACTTTAGCTGTTTCACAAACCACACCTCTTTTGGGGAGATATATAATATTCATAGATATATTGTTTTGTTTACATACTGGTTTCCAGATATCTCTATGTTTTATCTTATAGAGACATAACTTGGGAATGTTACCAGCATAAAAACACATGGACAGTGGCCAACTTGAATTCTTAGAAAGACCCAAAGTGAAGGGAGGGGAAGTACAGAATTTAAGAATAAGTTTAAACTACAATTGACATTTGATCTCTGAATTTCTTACCGGTCATCTTCATTCTTTGATGGAAAACTTTCAGTAAAGCTTTGTTTAGATTCAAATCTATCTATATCCCAGCTACCAGATTTATTGCTGCTGCCCCAACTACTCTCTTTACTTCCCCAGGAATTGTCTCTGTCTATATCAAATGCACTCTCATTTCTACAATAATACAATACAATCTGATTAAAATACAGATCATGTGACCTTTGCTTCATTCTCCTTTCTGTTTTAAAGAGCTTTCGGGATTCTCTGGTTTTGTCGGGTAACTACACATCTTACAAAATTTGAAGGCTGAAATTTCATTGGCTGATGTAAAAATTACCAAAACAGCAAATAGAATGGAGTATTGTCAGATCGTTGTAAGTGAAGCTTGGACGCAGGATCTCTATTTTAATCAGATTGAATTCAGTATAACATACTGTGGATTCATTGTTATTCTTGACTTACCAATTTTTATTGATTTCGTGGGTAAAGGTAAACCACAAATTTAAACGATCATTATACATGACATAGTATAAATTTTCTACATGTTTTTATTCAGACTTTGGCAAAAACATGAAATCAAATATCCACGAAAAATCCATTTTTCCTCAATCCACATAAATTGGTAACCATGAAAATAGTGAATGAATCGACAGTGAATGAAATTTACAATTCAATGTATAAAGTTTAATTTGTATAAGGAATTAATGTTTAATCACCCAAGCTTACATTGGATTAGTTTATAAAATTCGATCATAATTCTGTTTTGCTTCTTTTTTTGTAGTTGTTCATCTGAAATTCCTGTTTCTCTCCCCCCACCCCCCGATTTGTTTAAAACCAAGTGCAAATTGTTTGCAAATTAACATTGCATATATATATTTCCTGTGCAATTTGATTTACACTGGCCACTTATTTTTTGCAAACAACTACAGATAATGTGAAAAACAATACTATTTTGGACCTACTATCCTTAACGGCCTGTCTACAAATGTTAGTGTTTGACATTAGATATCTCTATCAGCAAAATAGACGATTGTAGTCAGTTATACAGTCTCCAACTATTATATATTTTTGGAATTTCTTATTTTTTAAAAATGAAACCACTAATTTTTGTCATTAATGAAAAAATAATATTTAGAATTGATTAATAACATAATTTATACCTATTTTTCATCAATATGTATATGAAAAAGTGAAAATATTTCCATTCATTCTCAAAAATAAAATATTCTTCTTAAATAAATAGTTTAGACAAACATATAATAATTTTTTTTTTTTACAGAATTGCAAACATATTAGACAAAGCAGCTGTCAGATACTATTCACTGCTACTTACTTATTTCCTGAAAATCCCATATCATCTAGTTCATCTTCAAAGAAATTTCTGGACCTTGAAGGTTTACTGCTGTATTTTTCTAAACGTGATTTACTGTCATTTTCTGGAGAGTCTTGGTTAATTGTCTGCATATCTGTCATAGCTGAGTGACTAACTCCTCTGAAAAAGAATTCAATATGTACTAAAGTGAAAGATAGAGATTTTTTATTTATTAATCATTTAATTATTTTATTCAAATCATCACTTTAATGCGTTTCGAAGTCCCATTTTTGAATTTTAACATATGCAAGTATTTTATCCCGTCAATTAACATAAAATAATAAATTTTCAATTTGTTTAGTATACATGGCAAACATCTCAGCTGGAAGTCATCCAATGTACACCATCCATTTGTACCAATTTGCAAATTTCATATTTAGTTTTTCAGTGTTTAAGATATTTACGAGGGATGAAAGTTATAATAAACAACTTAATCTCAATCCAGGCTAGTTTGCACCTATCCAATGTCAGGAGACTGTAATTCAGTAGTGTCGTTTGTTGCTGTCTATCATTTTTGTTTTTTCAGTTATTGTTTTGTCCATAAATCAAGCCATTAAGTTTTCCTTATTGAATTGCTTTACATTTGTCATATCAGGGCCTTTTATAGCTTGATATGAGGAATGGGTTTTGCTCATTCTTGAAGGCTGTACAGTATCCTATAATTGCTAACTTCTCTTTTATTTGGTCTTTGGTGGAAGGTTGTCTAATGGCAATCATAACACATCTTTTTTATTTTTACATAGTGATTTCAAAGATAAACTAGAGGCTCTAAAGAGCCTGTGTTGCTCACCTTGGTCTATGTGCATATTAAACAAAGGACACAGATGGATTCATGACAAAATTGTGTTTTGGTGATGGTGATGTGTTTGTAGATCTTACTTTACTGAACATTCTTGCTCCTTACTATTATCTCTATCTATAATGAACTTGGCCCGGTAGTTACAGTGGAAAATATTTTGTAAAAATTTGCAAAAATTTACAAAATTTATGAAAATTGTAAAAAAATTGACTATAAAGGGCAATAACTCCTTAAGAGGTCAATTGACAATTTTGGTCATGTTGACTTATTTGTAGATCTAACTTTGCTGTACATTATTGCTGTTTACAGTGTATCTCTATCTATAATAATATTCAAGATAATAATTAAAAGCTGCAAAATTTTCTTTAAAATAACCAATTCAGGGGCAGCAACCCAACAACATGTTGCCTGATTGGTCTGAAAATTTCAGGGCAGATAGATCTTGACCTAAAGAACAATTTTACTCATCAGATTTGCTCTAAATGCTTTGGTTTCAGAGATATGAGCCAAAAACTGCATTTTACCCTTAGTACTATTTTTTAGCCATGTCGGCCATCTTGGTTTGTGGGCAGGGTCATCGGAAACATTTTTTAAACGATATACCCTAATGTTGATTGTGGACAAGTTTGGTTAAATTTGTCTTAGTAGTTTCAGAGGAGAAGATTTTTGTAAAAGATTACAAAAATTTACGAAAAATGGTTAAAAATTGACTATAAAGGGCAATAACTCCTTAAGGGGTCAATTGACCATTTTGGTAAAGTTGACTTATTTGTAGATCTTACTTTGCTGAACATTATTGCTGTTTACAGTTTATCTCTATCTATAATAATATTCAAGATAATAACCAAAAACGGCAAAATTTCCTTAAAATTACCAATTCAGGGGCAGCAACCCAACAATGGGTTGTCCGATTCATCTGAAAATTTCAGGGCAGATAGATCTTGACCTGATTAACAATTTTACAGTCAGATTTACTCTAAATGCTTTGGTTTCAGAGATATAAGCCAAAATCTACATTTTACCCCTATGTTCTATTTTTAGCCATGGCAGCCTTCTTGGTTGGTTGGCCAGGTCACCGGACACATTTTTTAAACTAGATACCCCAATGATGATTGTGGCCAAGTTTGGTCAAATTTGGCCCAGTAGTTTCAGAGGAGAAGATTTTTGTGAAAGTTAACGACGACGGACGCCAAGTGTAAAGAAAAGCTCACTTGGCCTTTTGGGCTAGGTGGGCTAAAAAGGAAATTTTGCTACAATGTTTTACATGAACTATATATTGCTTTCATAGCAATGTTGCATCAATTGACATTTTTTTTCAAATCAACTTGAATTAATTCATTTCACCACTTGTTATTTTTAACAATAAACTGTTGACACAGATATGTCTCGGCTGTATGTACATCTGATAGAAAAAACACAAATGCTGATATTAAAATAGCCACACTTTAACATTTAAATTAAGCAAAAGTTTCAAAGTCAATCGACCATGACTGAGGGGGAGGAGGCAAATAATCTCCATGGAAATAAGTTGTGCCAATGCTACTTCAACTGCATACCAAATATCATAGACACACCATTAGTTGTTCACCTAAAACTGACTTAATCACAAAATTTAACAGTTTATGTTGATGCCACCATTTGAAACAGCATTCCTTAGTCTAGCTTTTTTCAACTTTGTCAAGGCAAGACAATAACCATAGCTATATCTGTTGACTAAGTCATTATGATTAGTTATATATATTTTTCGAACATAAACATTGCATCTCTCAAAGGATTATTTATACCAGGTTGTTAATATAGTACATACTTATGGCCACTAAATCCCATGCCAAGTCTCTCAAACTGTGCTGCTTTCTTTGGATCAGCAATCATTAATTTATCTTCTTGTTTCTTTCTTTCTATACTCATATCTTTGTATGCTAACTTCATAGTTGCCCTGTAAAATATGCTAAATCTGTCAATATATAGCTTTAAATTTGATAATCTGTCTCTTGCCTTGATTTATATTCAAATGAATGCACTATTTACATTTCTTTTGTAACTTAACATCTAAACTTTCTTTAAAAGATTTAAAATAAATATGATAGTCATATTCATAATTTTAAGTTGAAATATTTTGAATAATGTGTCTGGGTAGGTTGACATGTCTTCCTGCAGACTGTTGTGAACTTGCATGGTAAAAATCCAGCATGGCGTGTCAGTCTAGAACAAAGCAGGGGTAATATTCATATCGCAGTACCATGTTCTTGTCAAGAATATGCATTTAATTTGCTGCTGAAAGTTAAACAGCCATCAATCATCCTAAATCCACTGAAAGAAATATGAGTGGTATATTTCACAGTGGCCATTACAGGCAGTGGTATTTTATATAAAAGAGGAAAATTAGGCAGATTTTACAATTTTTTGTATATTCTTATTTTTAACAGTGTTTGAATTTTTTTTTAAAATGCTTAAGTTAACATCATCATGAAAGGCAAATGTGACCATTGTATGTAATTATGACATTGTTTACACTTCTGCAACAAGAGAAGGACCTTCCCAAAAATCCATGGCCAGCAATTTAAACTTATTTTTAAATATAATACATCAATTATAATTATATAATTGTTATTATAAAAGAACAGAGTTCCAATGTCCCCTGCGTTGCACATATTTTACCTATCAAGGGCAATAACTAAAAATAACTTTTTTTTGTTCTTTAAAACTTTTAAAAAATATCTTAGAGAACTGAAAGCTCCATAGCAAATACTATGCAATTTCCAATATAATTAAAATTTCAAAGGGCATAACTCTTTTATAAAATATTTGATAGGCACTGAGATCGAACTTGTCCAAGATGTTGCTTACATAAACTTTTGATATAAGTTTCATAAAAATCTTGCAAGAATTGTATACATGAGAGCGCTTACAATGCAATTTTCCACATAATTGATATTTCAAAGGGTAATAACTCTTTATAAAATAATTTATCCACTCTTGATTTCAAACTTGTCCAGAACATTGCTGATATAAACCTATGATATAAGTTTCATAAAAATCTGGCAAGAATTCTATATATGAGAGCGCTAAAAATGCAATTTTCAATATAATTAATGTTTTAAAGGGGCACAACTCTTTTAAAAATAATTGATCTGCACTGATTTTTGAACTTGTCCAATACATTGCTTCTATAATCCTAAGAAATAAGTTTCATAAAAATCAGGCAAGAAAGGGGGCCAAAAACTAGAGGTAGTGGGTTATCCTTTCCCCTGTAAAGTTCATGATTTGCTACGGATTAAAAGTAAACCCCCAAAAAATTATTTGGATCAAAACACAAAATAGGTGCACAATGTAATTTTATGGTAAAAATTCCAAGATAATTTCATTGAATTATACTGAGTTTAGTTGTGGATACAAAATGGGAACCCTCCAAATAAAGCAATGGAAAATTCTGTCGAGTGATTCAGGAGCAGTTGTGGATAAGCGAGACAAAAGGACAAACCAACAAACAAGCGGACTCCCCATTACTATGTACCAACCACTTTAGAAAGCAGGGGTATACAAGGGGGGATAATAATTATTTGTCAAAATTACATTTGTTTATCTTTCTCCTCTTGTGTTTTTGCCTCTTGTACAGCCATATTTTTAGCTAGTTCTTCCCTTTCTTTATCAAGTTGCTGGGCTTTATTCTCAATTTCGCTGAAATTTGCTTTTACTCTTTGAGCACCAAATCCTTTCTGAAATAAAAATTAACATGTATCTAATAAAAAACTTTTTCTTTTCAGAAAAAAGTAATTGAGAAGATTGGGGTAAAGGTCAATGGCCAACCACACAAAATTATGTGTTAACCAAAACAGAATCTAGAGTGCATCTACAAGAAAAAACGTATCAAAGAAGTCTCTAGTTGGTTTTTAATTTGTGTGAATATATAAGTATCTCATTTAGACAAGTATTTCAAACTTTTCTATTGCCGTTTTTCGCAAATAGAACAAGCCCAACAGGCTATATATCTTGCATTGCCTGTGGGCATTTACTAAAAAAAAATTATCAAGAATATTAATTTTGGTGAATGAATGAAGCAAATGAGATAAAAGAATCCTTTATCTTGTGTCAGAGGTACAATTGTTATGTAATTGTTTTAATGTTTCTGTATTGTTCTTGATTAAATAACATATCATAAATCTTCTATCTAATACCAACCGATTTTTTTGCTCCTCCTGTTTTCTTGGCACCTATCAATGCCTTTCTAGGTTCAGCATGAGCCATGGCTTGGGTAGGAGACATACTCAGAGCATGATCAACAGAAGGACCTTCTGATGGATCTGATAAAAAAAATACTTATATGGTTTATCTAAATATGAATTTTCAGTGGTGTCAATGTATACAAGGTTATATATTTTGGCTTAGAGATTTTCTGATAAACATCAATCCAGAAAAGTGTTTTAAAATGTGTAAATTGATTTTATGACACGTATGTATTTCAATTACATATTGAATACTATTTTATGACATTTTTTTAATTTCTGATACATCTTATTCTTTCCACTCTTGTGTTTACCTATACAAGCAAGATAATTCCAAGTTGACAGCAGTTCAACAAGGCAAATAAATCATCATTAGAAAGAATGATATTTGGAATCATATTCCCCCCACATTTTAACCCCTTTAACAAATTTACTGCTATAACATGTAAAACTAAGTGATCATCATTATACTGACACCATTAGAGTCTAGGTCAACTTCAAATAAAGACATAATTTTGTGTTATTTTCATTTTTTTTTTAATCAACACCATAAAACTATTCTATTAATTATAGAATAACTAATCGAAGAATTCAAATAGAGAAAAATATTCAACGAGTGACAGAACAACACATTAATGAATGCGCTTAGCGCATGAGTTAATTATCAGTGTTGTTCGGTCACGAGTTGAATATTTTTCGATATTTGAATTCTTTGATAAGTTATTCTTTTTATTACATTGGCAAATGGTTTTTTTATGAAATTAAAGTAGAAAATGTAAAGAACTATATCTTTTTTTACGCATTCACAATTTGTTTTGATCCGACGTTATCGACGTCTTGACAACGCCTATTGTTGTATGACGTCAGAGGAGTGAAATAACCACGTTTATTTCACATGTGAAATTATCGGTTTTTATTTCACTGGGAAATCAATGTAATTCATTGCAACCAATGTAATAAATACAATTATCACAGATCAATGCATAAAAATGTGTTTTGGCTAAAATGAAAGTAGAAAGTTTTTAGCCTTAATATTTACTCCTAAAACATTTTACTCTGCTATAGTTAACTATACCTATTTCCTCAGCTTTACTGAGACTTCCATTTTTAATAGGCTTTGGTTCTGAAGTATGTGTGAGTTTCTGACTTTCTTGTATCAAATCGGGTTCTTTATCCTCTGTATGGGCATCAAAGAAATCTACTTCCTTGTTCACTGGAGATGTTGGATCATGATGACTTTCAATGTGTAACTAAAAATATAAATAAGATATTGATGTTGGGGTAAAAAGTTTATCTTCTTCAATCTTGTTTTCTTTCTTTCTAAGTTCATATTTTTGTATGCTTACCTCATAGATTTAATAGGGTTTATAATAGTGGAAGCTAAGTGTATTGAAACACTTGTTTGAATATTAAATATTTTTATGACACCTACCTTTGTACCATGTAATTTCATGGCCTGTGTCGCTAATGAGTGTAACTTTCCTTTGTACAACTCGGCTGCACGACTGTGGTATTTCTGTTGCGAGTCTGAAGATGTACAACCATGTTGACGGAAAAAATGTGTCTGCAATGAAGGTACTTTAATGTCAAACATTCATTTGATAATAAGAATGGTTAAATATGTGTATCTGCAACCAGCATATTTTTTAAAGACTATAAAAGAGTACTTATAAGATCTTGATAAAATTCCTACAATAGTCCTAGATTTTTAACATTCATAACTTATCCTTCTTTATATAAAAAATAAAGCATGCATTAAAAATATAAAATAATTTTATTTTGATATTTATCTATTCTGGCCAGCTGACTTCTAGTCTATCATGTCTATAATTAGAACGGATTCAGAGCTTTATCCCGTCAAATTATTTATCTGCCAGTACCAAGCAAGCTTCCTTTAATTTATTGTTTGTCATTGGTTGCTGTTTGCTTTATTTGTTTTTGCTTGTTTTTAACAGAAATCTTTTGAATTGTTTCACATTTAGTCATGCTGGAGTCTTCTATAGTATAGTTTACAATACGGTATGGGGTTTGCTCAATTGTTGAAGGCTGTACAGTGCCAGATAATTGTTTACATCCTCTTCTTTGGGTCTCTGGATATAGTTGTCTCATTGTATACAATACTAACTAATACCATGTAATATGTGGTTGCAGTGACTTACAGCATTTGCATTTCCTCCCACTTGCATGGCTCTTAACTGTATCCATGTCCAACTAGTATCCAGCTGTGTAGATCTGATAAAGGTAATGTGGACCCCTAGGGATCTGTGTACAGCTGAACAATCAATGCACAAGAAAACACCATAGGTTACACTTGCCCATGTTGGATTATTGCTTGCACAATCAAAACATTGCTGAAAAGAATATGGAAAATATACATTTATTTGAACATTTAAGTCACAGTCATCAAACATTTTTGTCAAAACATATATGTAGGACAACTTTGACATTCCAATTTTGTTTCTTAAATTGACCTAAAAGTAGGGGTTTCAATAACATTATGTTATTTGAAAAATAATTTCAAGCACTTTTTTCAAAAAGATTCATAGTTAAACAAAACCTTTTGTTATTTAATACCAAGGTATAACAGATTCTGACAGTTTAATTTTTTTTACATGAATTTAGAATAAAATGCTCCGCTGGGCGCAGCTTGATACGACCGCAGAGGGTGAACCCTGAACAGTTGGGGCAAGTATGGACACAACATTCAAACTTGATACAGCTCTGAATTTGGATTGTGAATAAATATTTGACACAGCATAGGTTTCTGACACAGAATGAATGTGGTCTTAGAACTTAATTTTTTTTAATTTACCTATTACGGTCCAACATCCAAAATCTAAATATATGGTTAGATTCAGCATATCAAAGAATACAAAGAATTCAATTTTTGATGAAATCAAACAAAGTTTAATTTCGGACCCTTTTGACCTCAATGTGGACCAATTTGATAAAGGGGCCCAAAAATCAAAATACATGGTTAGATTCAGCATATCAAAGAACCCCATATATTCAATTTTTGTTGAAATCAAACAAAATTTAATTTTGGACCCCAACTTGGACCAACTTGAAAACTGGGCCCATAATCAAAAAACTAAACACGTTTAGATTCAGCATATCAAAGAACCCCATATATTCAATTTTTGTTAAAATCAAACTAAGTTTAATGTTGGACCCTTTGGACCTTAATGTAGACCAATTTAAAAAAAGGGACCCAAAATTAAAAATCAAAATACACGGTTAGATTTGGCATATATATCAAAGAACCCCAATAATTCAATTTTTGATGAAATCAAACAAAGTTTAATTTTGGACCCTTTTGACCTCAATATGAACCAATTTGATAGCCGGGCCCACAAATAAAAAATCTAAATACATGGTTAGATTCAGCATATCAAAGAACCCCATATATTCAATTTTTGTTGAAATAAAACAAAGTTTAATTTTGGACCCCAACTTGGACCAACTTGAAAACTGGGCCCAAAATCAAAAATCTAAATACATGTTTAGATTCAGCATATCAAAGAACCCCATATATTCAATTTTTGTTAAAATCAAACTAAGTTTAATTTTGGACCCTTTGGACGTTAATGTAGACCAATTTGAAAACTGGACCCAAAATTAAAAATCTAAATACACGATCAGATTCGGCATAACAAATAAATAAATTTGGTCAAAGATTTTACAAATCTAATGTGCCATACTGTCATTGACTGTGCAATTAAAGATTACTTCTTGAAATTTTTCAATATTTGAAATTTGAAAAAAAAAATTATTTGAAGAATAATTCTTTTTAATTTCTGAAATCTGAAACGAGAAAATATTAACCGCCCACAATTTCCTTTTACCCCAAAAAAATTCTTTCCCTCAAGATATGGTCATAATCTCAATTCAAATTTCCAATGGAATTTGCAACCATAATTACCCATTTAAATTTACCATAGTGCTAACTTAATCTATTTTATAATAGAATTTAAAATATGGTGTCAAATCTTTCATATGGATTTTTTTGTAAAAAAAAAAAGATGCAACATTTGCAGATATTTTTACTGGTCTTCCTTTATAAAAATGCATTTCTTAAACATAATTTAAAAGCAGTGTAAGGGAAGTAATCAAAACGTATTTGGATTACCTCCCTTACACTGTTTTAAATTGTCTTAATTGTTCATTAACCATTACTTTATACATAATTTAAAAGCAGTGTAAGGGAGGTAATTCAAATGATGTATTTGATTTATCTCCCTTACACTGCTTTAAATTATGTTTTGTACTAAAGTATTTGTCCATTAACCAGGACAACCTTGTTTTTCCCCCTTTTTTGCCCCTAATTCCAAAACGGTTTGAGCCATAACCCCCCAAAGCAAATCCTAACCATCCCTTTGTGGTATGGAAACTTGTGGTATAATTTCAGAGAGATCCATACACCATTCCACAAGTTATTGTCTGGAAACTACAAAATGCTTATTTTTGGCCCCTAATTCCTTAACTGTTGGTACTATAACCCCCAACCTTCCTTTTGTGGTATTTAACCTTATGGTAAAATTTCATAGAGATCCATTCACCTAAACTAAAGTTATAGTGCATAAACCAATGTGTCTTCGGACGACAACAACGACGACGACGCCAACGTCATACCAATATACGATTGCAATAATTTTTTGCGGTCGTATAAAAAGCAGGGATAAACTGCTACTTTATCCTTTTCAAGGCTATTTTTTTACAATTTAAGTAAATGCTGTCATAATCAGGATAATATAGTCATAATGTCAAAATCTCAAGTGACTTGTATGCCCATGATCAATGTATATCATGTATATATTTGCCTCTCTGTGTACCTGGTATAATATTGTTCTTGAATTCAACAGTTCAAGATACCGGGTATGTTTCAGATTAAATTTGCCATATTTACTGAACTCTACCTTTTGCAGTAAAATTAAATAAAATGCTTCGCTGAGCGCAGCCTGATTCGACCACATTCGAACCCTGAACAGTTGGGGCAAATTTGGACACAATATTCAAGCTTGATACTGTCTGAATTTGGATTGTGATCAAATTTTTGACACAATATAGGTTTCTGACACAAAATAAATGTGGTCAAAGATCTTACAAATCTATTGCGCAATACTGTGCAATTTAAGGTTTCTTCTTTCTTCTTGAAACTTTTCAAAAATTTGAAATTTGTAAAAATTTTGAAAACAAAATATGAAGCCCTTAAAAAATTGGAAGCCACCACCATTTTTGAATCCCTCCTTGGAACAATTACCTCCAAACTCAATCCCAGCCTTTACTTTGTAGTATGGAACCTTGTAGTACAATTTCAGAGAGATCCATTCACTTAAACACAAGTTATTGTCTGGAAACTAGAAAAATGCTTGTTTTTGGCCCTTTTTTGGCCCCTCATTCCTGCATGTATGGGACAATTACCCCCAAACTCAATCCCAGACTTCCCTTTGTGATATGGAACCTTGTGGTACAATGTCAGAGAGATCCATACACTCACACACAAGTTATTGTCTTGAATTTTGAAACTACAAAAATGCTTGTTTTTGGCCCTTAATTTCTAAACTGTTGGCACCATAACCCCAAAAATGAATCCCAACCTTGTACTTGTTGTATTAAACATTGTGGTACAATTTCAGAGCAATCAACAAAATTATACACAAGTTATTATCCTGAAACTAGAAAAATGCTTGTTTTGGGCCCCTAATTCCTAAATGGTTGGGACCATCATCCCCAAAATCAATCCCAATCTCCATATTATGGTATTGAACCTTCTTAAAAAATTTCATAGAGATCCATTCACTTTAACTAAAATCATTGTCCGGAAACCAAATGTGTCTTCGGAATACGACGCAGACATCATACCATTATACCATCCAAAAAAAATGTTTGCGGTCGTATAAAAACAATTTTTGCTGTCGTATAAAAATGTACTTTGCGTCCCTAACAATCATTGTTTCCCCTAGGTAAGTTTTGTAAGAAACAAGTAACCAAAATTTGCTTTCTATTTAGTTTCAGCTAAATAAGAACATCTGCTGTAACAATCACGATTAATCACAGTTTCGATGTGTGGTAAGATTTTTTCATGGCTCATTCTTTTTTAGAATTTTGAACATATTAAAAAATTTGTGAGGACACAATGAATTACATTACCTACATGAACCTTTCACTTGTAACTGCACACTTTATGACAAAATGCCTAATTGAATTAACACTTGTTTAAAAGTCACTTAATGTATCTATATACATGTATATATATAGGTTATGAATACTATAATATAATGTGGCCAAAAACTACTATAGCCGAACTGACCTGGTCAGAATAGTCTTCTCAAAATACATCCACTTCATTTAAACACTGGTGGATAGATTTCTCATTGGCAATCATACCACATCTCCTTATTTTTATATTGTGGCCGAAGCGTCTCGAATACAATTTATTGGCATTATAATATAATGTACTAATGTCGGTCAACCAATCATAGATTTTGCTATTGATACACATTTCAACAGGTCAGTTTTACGAAAGGCATGCATCTTGTGGAATTACTGATTATTGAGCAGGATAGGCCAAGAGAAGTAAGATAAATTGATAACAAATGAAAGACATCAGTCGTCTACATAACTTTTACATATAGACGACTTTCTAGTTCATGCACTTTCCCATAAATTTCCTATGTCACAATGCTTATTATATTACATCAAAGTAAGAACTGATTGTTTGGTGTCATCGTTCACGCTGATTGACCTAGGGTCAACCTGTGTAACTCATTTATAAATAAAATGCTTCGCTGGGGCGCAGCTTGATACGACCGCAGAGGTCGAACCCTGAACAGTTGGGCAAGTATGGACACAAAATTCAAGCTTGATACAGCTATGACTTTGGATTGTCATTAAATATTTGACACAGCATAGGTTTCTGACACAGGATGAATGTGGTGTAAGAACTGGAAAAAATTTAATTTACCTATTATGGTGGAATATCCATAAACTAAATTGTTTGTTAATTTCAATATATCAAAGAATATGTAGAATTCAATGTTTGATGTAATGTAATAAAGTTGAAATTTGGACCGTTTTTGTTCAATGTGGACCAATTTGGTAACATGTATAAATAATCAAAAATCTAAATACATGGCTAAAAATAAACAAAAATCCTTAATCAGCATCATTTAACAGTAATATCTAAAAATGGAAATTACATCATAAAGGTATTAAAATAGAAAATGACATCATAGTCATGGCTAAAAATAAACAAAATCCTTAATCAGCATCAGCAACATTTAAAGTAATATCTAAAAATAAAATTCCTTTGTAACCATAAAAGCCCATTTAAATACATCATAACAGATAT